GCTGGCTATCAGAAAAAATAGATATAAAAATCTCAGTAAAAAATTAAATCACAAAAGTACCAGGCCTAGAAAGCTTGAGAGAGATATTTTTAGAAAACTAAACCCTATGTGGAAAAGACCTTTTTATGTGTGACAATTTTAAAACATGGCCCCCAAAGTCTTCCATATTCTTCCCATCAAGAGACGGGGTCCATGCCCCCTCCTGGAATCTGGGACCTGTAACTGCACGACAAATGGAATATGGCGGAAGTGATACAGCACCGTTTCCAGGCACAGGCCCTAAGAAACAGAAAGCTTCTTCTTTCTGTCCCTTGAAATGGCCCAGGCTCAGAGCCCAGGCTCCAGGCAGCGAGGAAGTCCAGGCCACATGCAGAGGCCCTGGTTAATGTTCAGCCCAGCAGCCCAGCGCCCAGCGGAGGAACTAGCTGACAGCCAGCATGATGACCAGGCTTAAAGGTGAAGAAGACTTTGCTGCTTCCAGCCCACCCACGATGTGACTGCACAGCATGAAAGAGCCTGAACCAAAACCCCTAGCTGAGCCCAGCCAACCTCCAGGACCATAAGAGATGATAATAAAATGATTGTTGTTGCTTTAAGTCACAACATTTTGGGATCATTTATTATGCAGTAATAGGTAACTGATATACCATGTGTGATCAAACCGAGAAGCCATACAAATAAAAAATTTCTGCATTAAAAATAACAACAACAACAAAAAGAATAAAGAAAAAAGAATTAACAAAATCATAGGACAACAAACCAGGGCAAAGACCATATTTGCAACTCATATTATAAACAAAGGGCTAATTTCTTTATTGTACAAATAATTCCTACAAATCACTAAGACAGTAATGCCCAGCTCATCTGAATAGGCAAAGGAGAGCAGCACATTGTTTGCAGAAAAGGAAATAATCCTTAAATGAATGAAAAGTGCTCAACTTGGCTCAAAAGAGAAGTGTAAATTGAAATTAACAATAATATACCATTTTACAAAATAATACACTGGAGAAATAAGTGCTTTCATACATTCCTGGTAGGAGTACTAATTGACTAACTTTTATGAAAAGCATTTTATCTGTATCTATAAAAAGTTATAGCATTGGGGTAGAGGCTTGATCATTGCACTGTACACCTGAAGCTGATGTTGTATAATATTGTATGTCAACTGTAATTGAATATATACATATAGTCACGGGACGTGGAGTATAGTCTGGGAGTGGAGTCAATGGAATTGTAATAGATATGTATAATATCGGGGTGGGGGGGAGTTGTCACTTTGAGGGGTGAAAAGTATAACTATTGCACTGTGTTGTACACCTGAAACTAATTTAAAAAAATAAATTAAAAAAAAACTTATAGGGCACATGTTTTTTGACCCAGCAATTATGCTTCTAGGAATTTACCTTGCAGACGTATTTACACATGCACAAAATGACACCTCTCATCCTTGTGGCTCTGTAATGTAAAAGATGGAAACAACCTGAGTGTCCATTAACATGGGACTGTTCATATTTGTGGTTCACTCCCACAGTGAAATACTCTGTTTCAATAAAAAGAATGAGGCACCACTATGTGTATTGATGTAGCATGATCTCCAAGATACACTGTTCAGTGAAAAACCTGGGTAATACAAAGTGTATATGCTGCCTTTTATGTGAAAGATATATATGCATATTCTTATATATACATTAAACATCTCTGGAAAAATGTGATTATCTCTGGGGAGAGGACCTGAGTGGTGGGAGAGAGAGTACAAGAGAGGTAATTTTTACCCTACAGCCCTGTGTACCTTTGAGAATTTGTATCTTGTGCATTTATTATCTATTCCAAAAATAAAGAAAACACTCATTTAAAAATAGTGCTTGCATAACTAGTTAATCATTTGGAAAAGCATTAGGGACAGCTCCACCTCAAACCAAATGCCCAAAATGTTTCAAATGGCTTTCAGATTTAAATGCAAAAGTGAAATTATAGAAGTCCTACAAAAACTTCTATTTTTACTGTCATTTTTACTTTTTGTGTGCTCTAAAGTTTAATCCCTCTGTTGGTGCTGTGGTCCTGACCCTCAGTCAGCTGCCCAGGCATCTCCCACGCTGCACGTACACGCTGATGACTCTGGAACAGCAGCTGCAGCCCCCACCTCTCACGGACCCTCAGATCCTTTAGCCTGCATCCCTCCTGGGCTCCTCCACCTGAGCATCACCCGAGGAATCTGGAACTCAACCCCTGCCAGGCTGAACTCGGTCACCTTCTCCCACACCTGTACATCCCCCTGAATATCCATCAAAGTGACAGCTACCTTCAAGAGTCCCCCCCAAGCCAAGTTCTCCCTCACTTGCCCCCTTCACCTTCTGTTAGAGACTGAATGTTTGTGTTCACCCCCTTGATTCGTATGTTGAAATCCTAACCCCCAATGTGATGGTATTAGTCGGAGGGGGCTTTGGGAGGTGATTAGGTCATGAAGGTGGATGGGATTAGTGCCCTTGTAAAAGAGGTCTCAGAGACCTACCTTGCCCCTTCCTCCATGTGAGGATACGGTGAGATGATGGCCCTCTGCCAGCCAGGAAGAGGGCTCTTACAGGGAACAAAATATGCCAGCACTTGGATTTTGGGCTTCCAAGCTCCCAGAATGATGAGAAATAAATGTCTGTTGTTTCAGCCACCCAGCCTATGTTTTTTTTTTTTTGTTACAGCCACCCGAATGGACTAAGAAAACCTCCTCCTTCCCACGAGGCTAGCATGGTGGTTAAGAGGTCTGGAGTCAGGGTGCTGGGCTTAAATCCAAGCTCTGCTTCTTATCAGCTATGTGACCTCGAGCAAATGACTTCATCGTTCTTGCCCTTAGCTTCCTCATCTGTGAAGTAGGTAGAGTAACAACAGTATGTGCCTTACAGGGGACTGAGACATTTAAATTACAGTGAGTTACCATGTACAGTGCTTAGGACAGTGCTTAGAATTTGCTAAGAGCTCCATAAATCTTAGCTACTTATTAGATGATCAGTTTTACTCTGTGAAGCCCAGGTCAGACCTCCAATTCCTCTCCTGTCTGGATCTTTCCTCTCCCGACCACTGTACCTGACCCCTCCTCCTGGGCCCTCGGTTGGCTCCATGTTCTGGCTCATGCCCATCACTTATTGAGTTCCAGCTGAGTGCTTTGCCTTGGGTGAGGGGGCCCACTGGCGTGTCATGACCCCTTCTGACCCTGGTGGACAGGCCTGCCCAGTGTCCTTGCCTGTCCTGGTGTGTGGAAGGAACTGGGCTCAGGTGTCACCACTTATTAACAGAGGTTAGAGCCACAGGGACAGTGCTGTCCTCCAGAGGGCCTGACCTAAGAACAGAAAAATACGCCGTTGTGTCAATGTTTGAGGTATTTCAGAAAGTGTCCCTGAGGTGGCCGAGCAGTGTAGATAACGGTTTGTGGGGAATACATTTATTAATGTGTTACTTAAGAGAGGGAGATGGAAGGGTAGAGCACTGGCCAGGGATCCAGGTGGCCTGGGGCACCAGCTCTGGACTCTCTGTAGCCCTAAGCCCTAAACTCTCTGTTCCTGCCTCTGTTTCCCATCTGAGCGCCAAGGGGGTAGAATGGCTTCAGATAAAATCAACAGAGAAGAGACCATCAGGCGGGGCGTTTCCTTCTAGGTGCTCCCAGGCCTGGGAGCAAGTATTTGAACAGCCTCTGGCAGAGATGAAGGACAAAGAGCTGAGGGAAAGGCCTGGGTCCCCCCACTTGGCTGGCTTTAGCACCTGTATCTCTGACCAACGCCGGCCCCAGGGCACCAGTGTGTGGGTTTCCTGGAACGTGTTACTAGTCAAACACCCACAAGGTGTGTTACACCTTGTCATAAACACTATACATAACTCATGCTCTCAACAAGCCATGAGTCAGGTGTTACTATTATCCCCGCTTTACAGATAAGGAAACTGAGGCACACAGCAGTTCAATGACTTGTCATTAGTATGTGGCAGATGTACACCCAGTCTGTGTCCAGAGTTTGAGCTCCTCTCCTCCATGGCCTCTGTGCTTGACGAACACCTAACATGGTCCGGGGTCCATGCAAATGTTGCTTGTTTAATCATCACAATAACCCTCAAAGGAAAGTGCTCATAACCTCATTTTGTAGCTGAAGAAACTGAGGCTTAGGCAGATGATGTGAACTGATCAAGACCACACAGCTTGTAAATGGACCAAGATTCAGACGCAGTTCCATCTGACTGCAAACTCCTGGTCTGCTCATGACCCCACAAGGCCTCATCCAGTATGTTGGCCCTGGCCCTAAACATGACCTACCTCCAGCCAGGCAGCAGGTGTCCAGCGAGCTGGGTGGCCCATGACCAATTAAACTCCCCCTCACAGCTGTGGACTTCATATGGGAATTGCACCAAGTATTAAAGAGGCCATTCCTGGATGCGGATTGCCCTGGTCCAGCCTCCTGTGTTTGCACACTAGGCAAGGCTCAGAGCCCAGTCTGTGTGACCAAAGGCCCCTGCCTGGAACCGTGTGACCATGATGGAACAGACCTAGCCAAGATGGTCAGGGCGCTCAGGCCCTGGGAATGTGGATGGTCCCTGACTGCATTCCCGCTCTGGGAACACAGATACTTTCTGACAGCTGTAGGCACTCTGATAAGACATCCACACACACTCTCACAGGACTCTCCCATGCATGCACCTTTAGCCACTCCAACCCCCGCACACCCCTGCCAGTCTCTGAGGCCCTGGGGCAGTGGTGCCCAGAGGGAGGACCTAGAGGTCAAGGGCCAAGGCACCAGTCTGGCAGTATCACCCAGAACCAGTTCCAGATCCACCGAGGCTTAATCATACACCTACAGTTGCACCAAGGCGCACACTCGGGACCTCACAGTTACACCGCACACAAAGGCACAATATCACTGCCTGAACACACGCAGTCCCCGTAACAGCTACAGTCCTACAACGCACCCAACTCGGGGCCCACGCGCGCCCCGCCCAGCCCAGGGCCCGCCCCCTCCGAGGCCCCGCTCCGGCCCCGCCTCCACGTCGCGTCCCGCTTCCGGCCAGCGGGGTCCCGTTCAGTGTCCAGCGGCAGCAGGTTGAATGAGGCCAGTGCGACTCATGAAGGTGTTCGTCACTCGCAGGATCCCCCCCGAGGGCAGGGCCGCGCTCGCTCAGGCCGCAGAGTAAGAGCCCGTCGCCCCGCGACACTCCGTGCGCGGAGCCCCCCTGCCCCCCCACCCCCCACCCCTCGAACGCAGGGTTAGCAGTTGTGTTGGGGAAGGGGCTGCGGAGCCCCGGGCGCCTCCCCGGGATCTCATGCACTCCCGTACACAGGGTGACTCAGCGTCTCCAGGAGCTACTTTGGGGGTGCCCGGGGCTGCGCCTGGGTGGCCTGGGGACGGCCTCCAGAGGCCCCAGTTATTTTTGGTGGCGAGAATGGGGCTGGTCCCAGGGGCAAGAGAGAGCCGGAATCTTGCGCTTGGGCCATGGCCGGACTTTTCAGTCTGTTCCCTGCCAGGACAGTTTTGGAGTTTTAGGGCGGCTTAAAGTTCTCTGGGGCCCAGCTTTCTCCAGTCCCGTTGCAGTGACGCTGGGACCTGCATCTCCCCTGGCACTTGCTGTGGGAGAGAGGGGAAAAGACTGGAGCGCTTCCCAGCCATGGCTTGGGGAGAGAGGAGAGACCTCTCATGATGCAAAGTCCAGGCTGTTAATTCTTTACCCTGCAAGGTCACTCGATGAGGTCAGGGACCTTATCATACACTGACCTGGCCCCTCGGACGGTTGGCAGAGGCCTTGGGTGACACTTCTTAAATTGAACCCTGCATGGCAGGCTTGCCAAGGGCATCATACTCATAAACTCTTTTAATCTTTGCAACACTGTGAAGTTGATATTATAATCCTCATTTTGCAGATGAGAAAACGGAGGCTGGGAGAGGTTAAGTCCCTTGTTCAAAGTTACACAGCTCTGCGTGTGGCAGGACTGGGATTTGAACTCAGCTCTATCTCACTGCATTATACAGACCTGTCCTGCCAGTGTCAGGCAGAGAGAAGGTGGAACCCAGCCTCAGAAACCAGTGGCAGGGGAAAGTGAGATTTAATTTGTTCAGTGCAACCAAAGTTTTGCTGAGGACCTGTCCTGTACCAAGCATTGAGGGGGAGGAGGGGAAGGCAGGAACAGTGGCAGTAGCTCACACTGTTACAGCATGGGGCCACGCGCTCATGGGAAGGAGGATGAGCTCATGGGAAGGAGGATGAAAGGCGACCTGTGTCTGGGGCTTAGTAGGCCCAATGCTGCAGCAGGGTGTCCTGGGAGGTGCCTGCAGCTGATCTGCCTGACACATGTAGATGTCCATACATTGTTGGCTGCACTGAATTAAATGGCCAGGGCTGGGAGGCTGGGCAGCACCTCTGGGGAACATGCCCAGTGCCTGTAGGTGCACGCCTCCATCTTACATTGCTTTGATCTTGCCTTCCTGGCAAAGTCCAAGTACGAGAGTTTTTTCATTTCATGGACTCACAGGACCGGACATGCAACTGGACATGGAATCCAATCCCATTTGATGCAGGACTCCCCCTCCCCCCGCCCCCAACTGGCCTTCCCAACAATTGGCCACCTAGGCCAGGATGTTCACTACCTGAGAGCCTCCTGTGAGGGTGGGGAAGCTCTTCCTTGTGTTGAGCTGAGCGCTGTCCCCATGACTTTCTTCTTTCAGTTTAGACTCTTGTCAGCCCTCTCTGCTCTGTGATAACCCTTCACCCTTAGCCACCCTCTCAGGACAGTTCTGAAGTTGCCCGTACCTGACCCAACTCCCCTCAGCACCCCCAAGGCAGCCTGAGGCCATCACAAGCAGAAGGCCATGTTTCACTCTGGGAGGGGGACTGTGCACGTGGCTGGGGTGACTTTGGGGGCCTGGGAGCATCTCCGGGACTCCCCTGCTTATGAGTGGCCTTTCCGGTGCCCTCAGCTGTGAAGTGGAGCAGTGGGATTCAGACGAGCCCATCCCCAACAAGGAGCTGGAACGAGGGGTGGCCGGAGCACATGGCCTGCTTTGCCTCCTCTCTGAGCGTGTGGACAGGAAGCTCCTGGATACCGCAGGTGTGTGCACTGGGCAGGTCTGGGAGGATTCTGAGGGTATCTTGGCTGTGGGGGTACATTAGCCTGCTGCTGCTAGCTCCCCGAACAGGGTTGCAGTGCCCTCTCTGAGTTAGGGCATTGGCTGTAGTAGTAGGCCAGAGGGAACAGTTGTGTGCAGCTCCATCTGGCACACATATTCTCCTCTCTCCACCTGTGAACCCCTGGAGGAAGGCCTTTGGAGGGCACAGATCATGTGTGGAGGCAGCAAGGTGCGGGGGAGAGCATCCTGAGGTTGTGGGCCCTTGTCCAGCCTTTCCACAGCCTCGCTTTCTGACCTCTAGCAAGGCCCTGCCCCTTCTGGGCCCATGGAAAGAGTGCGGGAGGGTCTGAATCCCACGAGAAAAGATAGAAACAATGCTTTTTCTGCACAACAGGAGCCAATCTCAAAGTCATCAGCACAATGTCTGTGGGTGTCGACCACTTGGCTTTGGATGAAATCAAGAAGCGGTAAATGCAGCTTGGGTTCTGGAAGGGGACCTGGAGTGAGGGGTGGCTACCAGACAGGAAGGAAGAGATGAGTCTTTATTTTTATTTCTTATCCCTAACCATTCAGTGAGAATGTGAGGTGGCTGATGATAAAATCTGCCCACATGTGCACAGGTCAGTTGAAATAAGCCCAGAGGTCAGAAACATGGATAAGAGCTGGCCAGGTATCACCCTTCCACATTCATGATCTTTTTTGACCCCCAGCATAACCCCTTGAAAGTACAAAAGGCAAATATTATTATTTTCCCCTTTAGATGAGGAAATTCAGAAAGGTTAAGTAGTGACTTGCCCCGGGTTTTGGATTCTGATTTCCCATCTTCATATCCTTTTCACAGCGGGAGATAATTGAAATGGAATGAGGTCTGGGCTGACCATTCCTGGGTGCTTATTTACAGCTCTGAGCTTCCTGGCAGGCAGCGCAAAGAGGGAGCAAAGCAGCATCATGGAAATGTCCCAGCACTAGAAATTGGTGAAGGTGCTTGAGGCCAGTATTACCACCAAATGTTTGATTCATAGGGGGATCCGTGTAGGCTACACCCCAGATGTCCTGACAGATGCCACTGCAGAACTTGCCGTCTCCCTGCTGCTCACCACCTGTCGCCGGCTGCCAGAGGCCATTGAGGAAGTGAAGAAGTGAGTGAAAGTTGTCAGGAAAGTTGGCTCTGCTCAGCAGCTGGTTCCTGAGTACCCACTGTCACCCTGGCCCAGCTGTGATCCCTGTCCCCAGATGTTCCCCATCTAGTGAGGGGGCACAGACCAAGCCAAAGTACTAAAGCACAAGGCAGAACTGAAATAAACAGGGCTAGAAGGGAAATTGCTAGATAAGAGGATAAGGGAGGTGAGGAGGTGGGGGGAGGAGTGTGGATCAGGGAAGGCTTCATGGAGGAAGTGGCAGATGGGCACCCTCTTCAGTGCTTAGAAAGACAGGTCCACCATCCCTTACAATGTGGAAATCCAAAAGCTCTGAAAACCGAAGGTGGTTTCATAAGTCTTTTAGTAGCAAAGCTTGACTAGAACTCACAGGAGGCTACTTATGGTTTTCATTTCTCCCAGTCAGTGTGACTATTCATATATTCAGATAGACCAGAGTGTTTGATACAGTGTACTGCCCCCAACGCTGCCGAGGGTGTTATGCAGAATATAGCGTATGCACCACACTACCTTTCTAAAATCTGAAATGAGATCTGGCCTGAGGGTTTCAAATTAGGGATCTGGGTCTGTCTATCCAGTTGAGGAAGGCATTCCGGGTGCAGGGACTGGCCTGAGCAAAGCCTGGGAAACATGCGAACACAGGCCCTCAGAGCACATGGACCAGGAGCACGGGCTCCAAGCAGTGGGTGTGGACAGCGCCGTGGGGCTGATGAGACACCGTGCTGAATGTCCTGCTCACTCTCGAGGAAGTCAGCACCTTCCATGGAGGCCTCCGTCCCTTCGTCCACCCAGGCAACGGGGTGGGCTTGTGGCTTTACTTTTTGTTGCTTCCCCAGGGTGCTGAGGATACTGGTTGTGGAATCCTAGATGCTTTTTTCAGCCTGCTGCCACTCACTCTGCGCTGGCTGTATGACCTCAGTCAGGTCACCCTTCCAGGTCTCTTGCCCCATCTGCAAAATGAGATAAGCACTTCTAAGGCTGCTTCCAGCCCTCAGGCTCTGAGTCCCCAATGGCTTTAAAGGAAGAATTGTTTCTACTGCTTGTCCTCAGCACTGAGTGGCTGAGGGTGTAACTCATGCCACTGTCAGTCCTTAGACCTGGAGGGCAGGAGCTGTCCCTTGGACCACAGCCCCTGCCTGGGGGTGCTGGCTCCGTGAGTTCACAGTGGGCCCTCGTCTTTGCCCATGGCCAGGGCCTCTCACCCACCCCTTTCCCTCCCCGCAGTGGTGGCTGGACCTCATGGAAGCCCCTGTGGATGTGTGGCTACGGCCTCACAGGCAGCACCGTCGGCATCATCGGGCTCGGGCGCATAGGTGAGGCCACCTACCCTCTTGCCTATCTCGCTCGCATGGCTTGGTTTGAACCTCCAGCACCGTATGTCTGGATGCTGACAATCCTTCTTTGGAAAGGGTTGCCATAACTGCGTGTTATCGGTGCTCTTTATATGCAGTAGGGATATTTCTAATGGGAAGACACTGCTTCATCAAACACAGGCAAAAACAGAAACTCAGGAGTTCCTTAAGAACTCACCAGGTGAAGAAGCAAGTTGTAAGAGCCGGGGTTCTTTATGGCTGCAGCTCCATACAAAACAGACGAAAGCAATGATGATGATGACTGGGTTGGAGCCTTTAGCAAGGGTTTACTGTGGGAGAGCCCGTGCTCCCCTAGGCCTGGCTTCTGGAAGGCATTTGACTCAGAAAGCCTTAACTCAGGAACCTCAGGGTCCCGTGGGCAGAACTTACCTGTGATGCTGCTGATGGGGCTGAGCTGTTTTTCTCCGCAGGGTCCCTGTTTGGAGATGCCTGGCATAGAGGCTTGCGCTCAGCCAGGCAGCTCTCAGCGGTTCTCTGGCATCCTGCCTGGTGCAGAGGATAGAAACTGTGGATAATCTGCCTGGCCAACTAACAGGCCTGTCTTTCACACTAGGAGTTGCTTAGAGGAACCCACCTGCTTTGGGGCATGTGCTGGGTCTAAAACCCAACTGCTCAAGCCCGTCTGAGCAGCAGCATGTGTGAAAAGGTCTTACAGATTAAGGGCAGGTTGGCAGTTTGGCGATGCCACCACAAAGTCAAATGAGGTCTGGGGCTGCATTAACATAAGCAGAGGGGCCAGAAAGATGGGAGGGGCCTGTTTGGTCAGACTTCTCCTGGAATGCCAGGTCCAGTACTCAGGGAAGGTTAGTAAATGGCCCTCAAGATGGCTGAGACCATGTGGGGACAGCATAAGCCAGTCACAGCCACAGAGGAGCTGTGCTGCTGCCTCCAGCCCTCCGCAGAGCTGTTACATGGACCCCTGAGGGCAGTTTGGGCTGGCTGGGGGCTGGTTACCCTGGGGCAGGACTAGTTAACGTTGGGACTGTACTGATGAAAGGAGCTGCCTCTCCTCCAGGGGCTTCCTGCCCCTGGAGCTGCTGGGTGCTGTCCCTGCCTCCTGAGGGTTTGGGAACAGCCATGATGCTGACTCCTTGTCCCCAGGCCAGGCCATTGCTCGGCGTCTGAAACCGTTTGGGGTTCAGAGATTTCTGTACACAGGGCGCCAGCCCAGGCCTCAGGAAGCAGCAGAATTCCAGGCAGAGTTTGGTAAGTAGAACTTTGATTTCCACAGGATCCTCCTCCGTGCTTCGTTAGAGGATTCTATTTTCTGTAATGTTAGCGTTTGCAGGCAGAATGCAGGGGCTCCAGGTGTGTCCAGAGCCTGTGGGGTCCCTTCGGTATTATCTAATCTACTTGCCCCAGGACGCAGACGCCCTCTAAAGGAGCACAGAGGCTTATCCGGGCCACACCGTGAGGTCTCTCAGTGCCAGGGAAGCACTCTAGGTCTGCCTTTTAGAGAGTCCCTTGTCACCATGGGCAGAGCAGCAGGGATGATGACAGACAGAAGGAGCTGCTGGGAACTTTCACTCACAGTTTCCTTAATAAACTGGTGAGCACTCCCCTGCAGCCTGTGTCCAGGTGGATCCAGCCCCTGGCAGGATGCACAGCTTGGTGTGCGAAGGGCAGGCTGGATTTCAGCCATTCCTCACCCCGTTGGCACTTTGGGCCCTGAAGTTGGTGAAAAGCCAGAGTGGCCCAGACCCCGCGGTGTGACCTTGAACAAGCTCCTGCCTCTCTCTGGCTTTAATTTCTCTACCTGTTAGACTCGGGGGGCTGGATGAAGTGATATAATATACCAGGGTCCCATGCGTGGCTGTCAGCTTTGTACAGTGATCAGAGTTGTCCAGGTAGAGAGAAGGCCTTCGGGAAGTAGCTGGGGCGTTTCCATTATGGGAGGAAGAGAGAAGGATCTGGTCTCCTACTCTCTTGCTGCCCCTAACCTGGGACTCAGCACCTGATGGAGCCATGCCCTCCCCCAGTGTCCACCCCGCAGCTGGCTGCCGAGTCTGATTTCGTCGTTGTCACCTGCTCCTTAACACCTGCAACCAAGGGGCTCTGCAACAAGGACTTCTTCCAGCAGATGAAGAAAACGGCCGTGTTTGTCAACATCAGCAGGTATCCTGGGGCCGTCCTGCATCCCTGGGTCCCTGGACAAGCTGAGAAGGGCTGTCCTTGCTTCTAGGATCTGAACTTTTTCTTCCCCGTGGGTTGTTGATGAGGCCTCAGGCTGAGCTTGCCACTCGCCACAAACCAGCCAGCAGCCAACTCAGACACAGTAAAGGCTACGAGAGCCCCCAGGCTGGGAGGAGGAGCCGTGTGAGCAGGCCGGGCCTGTCTGGTTCCCAGCAGTACCCCCAGCCTTGCTCAGGGCTGGGAACATCGTAGTGTTGGTTTAGGGAGTGAAGGCATGATGGCAGCGAGTTCCCAGTTGACCTTGGGCAGCCCCTGTTCCTCTGTATCACAAAGGGTTGGACTTAATGATTTAATCGCCCTTCAGAGGCCAACCTTCCATTGCACTGAACCTGGGTCTGTCTCTGTGAATCAGTGACAGCTTGCACCTTCATGTTTCTGGGAAGACGGACACAAATCAAGTTGTCTTGGTTCCTCAAAGTGTCCCCAGGGTGCTTTCATGCCACTGGGAATGTGATGGGGGCAGACCTTCCCTCTCTGCCTCTCCAACCCCTTCCTAGCTGGTGCCCTTTGAACCTGCTCAAATCAGTTTGGAGGTAACAAAGGTGAGGGAAGGAGTTGGATGAGGTCACCTCCTAGGGATCTCCACCCCCGAGGCACCTGTAATAACTAATGTTTAGCCACAAAGGAGGTGACCTGGAGGCGGAGTGAACACAGGGCTCGAGCTGGTGGCCAAGTGTCACAGCTTGCATTACTGAGCACCTACGCAGACCCAGTGCTATACAGGACGCTGTGTTACTTATCATTACACGAGTATTATTTAGTGCACGATGAGAAGTCTCTAGCAAATCAGTTCTTCAGTGGTTCAGCCATAGGAAGACTGCTTCCTCAGGTGGATGTAATTAGGTGTGTGCTTCTGTCTCTGCCCTCAGGCAGGTGATTGATGGTTTGCAGTGGTTCTCAGCAGGTGGTCCGGGAACCAACCAGATCAGAAACACCTGGATGGGGTCCTATACAAAGGCAGATTTCTGGGCCCTAGTCACGCAGTAGTACATGTCAGTAAGCTTAATCCTCCCAGCACTCATAGGAGTTAGGTCGTGTTTTTCCTTTCTCATAGAGGAGGAACCTGAGACACAGAGAATCTGAGACACTTGCCCAAGGTCACACAGCTAGAAAGTGGCAGGGCTGCGGTTCTCTGATTATTAGACCTGTTACTATACAGGTATAAGTACCTATACTATAGGACTTACTGCTTTAAAAGTCAGTGCCAGGGTCGGTGGGAAAATTTATTCTGTGGGCTCTGCCCTAATGGCAGCCTGGGAGGAGGGATCTGCGGGCCACCCACATCACCACTGTCATTCCCAGGGGAGACGTGGTAAACCAGGACGACCTGTACCAGGCCTTGGCCAGCGGTCAGATTGCAGCTGCTGGACTGGATGTGACAACCCCAGAACCACTGCCTACAAACCATCCTCTCTTGACCCTGAAGAACTGTGGTAAGAACTGTGCTTTTGCAATGCAGTCATCTGCCATCCGGCAGGACCGTGGTAACAGTTAGAGGTGGCCTGGCGGTGCTGTGTGTGAAGCTACCGAGCACAGGATACTCCTGGGGACTGGAAACATTTATGCCATTAGTAGCGCTGGTACATAACAACATAGGGGAGGGGCCTCCTGAGTGTGTGCACCTAGGTCTGTGTCCCTAAAGGAGTGAATGGAGGGAGGGGGTGAGTGGATTGGTTTAAAAAGAGTGGGCTGACTGCGTGTCTCACATTCATAGCTAGTCGTGGGTAACACAGGTAAAACCCATTACTATAAATTGCCAATATCAGTTTAAGTGTGAGACGTCACAAGTGTAATTTCAATACCAATATTTGTAACTTGTGCCAGTTACTAAGCTCTTGTCTCTTGTCTCCAAACCTACCCTTGTGTGTCCTGCTTTGTGGGGTGGGGGATGGGACTCTGCAAACCCCATTTCTGCTGGGCCCTGTCAGTGTAGACGCTGGAGGCAGCAGGACATGGCTCCCTCCTGCCTTCCTGTCTGTGAGCGGCACGCAGCAGCTTCTTCACTGGCGGCGGCAGTTCTTGCTGTAGTGGTTTCGGTTTGCAGTTTTCCCAACACCTGGTTTACCATGGAGCACCCCGCAGACACAAGCCACAGCCCTGGCCACACAGGTCTGAGTTGCAGCTCCAAAGGGGCCCTTCTTTCAGTCTTAATAATCCTACCCTTTCCCTCCATCCCTAGTCCTGGGGAAGTAGATGCTCTCACCAGTTGGCTGTCTCGGTGATAACCTCAGTACAGTGTTCTCAAATTACGTTCCTCGGTCACCTGGAGGGACTGATCAGACACAGAGTGCAGGGCCCCCAAGGGTTTCTGCTTCCATAGATCGGGGGTGGGGAGACCTGAGAATGTCCACATCTGTCTGACATGCTCCCATGCCAGTGCTGCTGGGCCTGGGACTCACTGCATTAGTGTTCTCGGTTCAGCCTCCTCAGTTACCTAGTTAACAGGTCTTTATATTCAGGTCTACCTGTTCAGGTAGCTGGTATGGTTTTTGTCTCCAGACTAATATATAACTGAATGGTAAAGGCCTTAGGTTGTCTGGGCCAGTCCCTGCCCTTTATTTACATTCTGGAATGGAAAGCCCAAGACAGGTCCTTAGCTGCCTTCCCCAGTGAATGCTCCCATTATTTGTAGCCCTTGGAAACTCGGCCATCCCCACCCCGCAGCCAACCGGAAAGGAACACTGGCTGTCAGGTCTGTGCCCATAGTCGCGAAAACTGTCCCCATCCCAAGGCTTGGGAGTTGGGCTCAATGCCCAAGGTATTGCTTTCTAAAGGCACTTTTTGGGGACAAGTGACCTACCTCGCTTGGCAGTGGGGCCACAGGAAGCGGTGCTGCCCAGCATTTCATCTTGTCATCCATTCTGTAGATCAGAGGCCTGTGGCATCACTTTCAGGGGCGCAGGGTGTGGATGAGCAATTAACTTGGCACCATTCACTCTCTGATAACTGAAGGGCTGGGTTTTGGTCAAGCTCCAAGATCCCTTCTAGGCCGACACTGTTGTATTTAGGATACACATCCCTTGTCACCCTTGCGTTTGGGTGTCAGTAACCTGGATTCTCTTCATTCTCACTCTGACCTTCAGCCTTGGGGGAAGTGGAGTGCATAGGGACAGTAGGAGGGGAGGCAAATCAAGGACTACTGAGACAAGCTGTCTTTATTCTTCTTGCTGGCAAGCCCTAGCCATGAAAGGGCCCGCTTTAAGGCTCTTGACCCACCCTCTTGCTTCTCTCTCTCCTTTCCAGTAATCCTGCCCCACATTGGCAGTGCCACCCACGGAACCCGAAACATCATGTCCTTGTTGGCAGCTAACAACTTGCTGGCTGGCCTGAGAGGGGAGCCAATGCCCAGTGAACTCAAGCTGTAGCCAGATAGGAGACACTGAGGGCTAGGAGGCAAACGGTGTCCCAGATGCTGTCGGCTGTGCCAGGCTGGATTTGGACCCACAGGGCGGGAGCCAAGAAGTCTGATCTGTACTGATTCTGCACAGGGAAGACTGGTGCTGATAGCTGTGCTTGCCACTCTTGTGGTTGGAAACATTTGAGCCAAAAGCGTGTAATTCTATTAAATAATTCTCTGAGAAACGGTGTTGGCCTGTAACTGGGAGAAGCTAGTGACCTACAGGTTCAGCCTCACACCTCTGTCCTCACCCCCTAGCATTTTAATTATTAGAACTTGTCCAAACCACTTTACCCCTCTGCTCAAATTCCTTCGTATGTCTGTAACTGAGAACGGGAGGACCATTGTCTAGTGGTGACAATGGCACTGGAATCTGCAACCTAGACCATCGGGGCAAACTAAATATACATGGCAAAGAGAGCCAGGTGAGAATAACTGGAAGTAGATGAGTTTCTAATTTTTATTTTTAAATTAGTTTTAGCGCCTTCACTCTTTGCTCCCTTTGCCCAGCTGGGCCTCATCCCCATCCCCTCCCCCTGCCCCCCCACAAGTGGATGCCCTTTTTCTAATCACCACCTCACTCCTCCCCAAGGCCAAGGCCACCAGCACTGCCACAGCCCTACTCCTACTGAAGGAGTCCGGTTCCAGCTCTTCCCACGGCCAAGCCAAACTGGCAGGTGGAGTTTTCAACAGGTGAGGCAGGTCAGGGAGCACCCAAAACACAAGATTAAGCAGACCCTGTAAAGAGTAAAACTGTGGACTGAGAACAACCCTAACACACGTGCATGGCTCAAAGACAAGACGGTGCAGGCAAGGCAGAAGGAAATGAGCAACAATCGTTATTGACAGCATTCAAGTATTTTCTAGGAGCCTTGGTTAAAAAAAAAAATACACTGGTCAAAGCAGCATTAGAAAGCAAAGAAAGCAGTACTACTTCCCATTTTTTGTTTTAACCGTAATAACCTAAGAGAAGGAACACATATTTAGAGACATGAATGTGACAAATTTTTTTTTTATTTCAAAATCTCAAATTTTGACCAGCATAGCACCACTGTCGTGGGTGCCGATAGAACTCGATGAGTTGATCACCAGAAATGATTATGACAGGCTATAATTAAGGCTAACCAATCAAAATCCAGGTATGCAATACCAGTTAAAATTCAGGTAGAAACTATGGATCACAGGAACCCTGGGACTGGTTTTCCAGGGAACCTCTGAATTATCTTTTTAAGTACTACAGCTTGTATGAGGACACTGGCCCGCAAGCTTGCTTCTCACACGTAGAAACTGATTAAGAGGTAGATGAGCAATTCTAGATTCCGTGTCGCAGTGGAGAGGCAGCTCCAGCTGCTGTATGGGAGATGGGCCCCACCTCCTCAAGATGGAAGGGAAGGAGAGCTGCCACTGCTCTTCCTGGTGTCACTGGTTCCTCTCCCCAGGCCCAGGCAGGGCTCTTTGTTGTCCATGCTGACCCAACTGCCTCCAAAGGTTAATCTCACAAGACATTGGTCCCCGCGTTGTGTAGAGGGGTAGATGCAGAACCTCCTCACAAGTAGTCAGAAAATGGCTAACAATCAGCCACACACACACACAGCTTAATTTCACAGGTGACCGCACGTCCTCCAGTCTCTTCCCCACATCTGCTGGCAAGGAGAAGAATCCCAAAGGTTCCCTTTCCTCCCTGGGAATCTGTTCATAGGAGATGCTAAGCCTGACTATGAACACTGAGTTTCTCCACGGACAGATGTGTAACTGCACACACTAGATTGAGGAGAAAATACGCTGATTTTTGTTTTAGGCTACACACACTTAGCTTTTTAAATATAAGAACTGAAGGATTTCTCTCAGTTGTGCCCAATGCTTGGTATCTAAAAAAGCTGTATAAAAAAATGAACTCCTGTTCACACATGAATTAAATGGACTTCATGAGTTGTACAGAGACACACTAACCTATGCTGTTTCCCTGAAAGCACACGAGCCAGTGCTCAGCCTGACACAGGTGCCACCAACAGCCCTGATGGCACAGGGTCAGACTGTCAGGTGGGCTGGGGAAGTGAGGCAGTGGAACCCAAAGAGGCCCTAGGCAGTGACCCAAATGTCTCTTCCAACCGTCTCAGATGCTACTTGGCTTCTATGCTCTTGGCTGCCCAACCCTCTTACAGAGTCTGGAAAAGATTCATCCATGAGCACTGCTATGTTTGGACTTCAAACATTCAGTATTGAGCTGGGGCAACAACAAAAGTTCAGGTCCTATACTTTACAACTAGAGTATATATATAATAAAACCCACGGTGGAAGGGACTTGACCTCATTTTTGGTTAGTTTGCAACTGAAAACAGCAATCTAGGTCTTGAAATGATGCCATACAGGGTGGGCGAGTGTGAAGAAGCGAAGCAGAAAACAGGCTTGTCATTGGGTGAGATGTGTCAGGCTGGACTGGCCCCTGAAGTCTGGATGGAGCAAAGGGTAAATGCGCTTCCAAAGATCCCACAAAACTGGACTCCACACCATCAGAACAAAGACAAACACTAGCTCTTTTCTGACCTCCAAACATGGAGCTGTAACATAGGTATAACAAGTTGGTTAAATACCGCTAAAACAGCACTTACAGAAACAACACTTGTCACTCCCTACAAGTACGTACTCCATTTACAACTTTGTTTTTAAAACTGGGAAAAATTATTAAAACATCTATCCAACAGTGATGTTTTCAAAAGTATATACACCTAACAGTCCAGAGAATGCTCGCTCTGGACCCAGTGTCAGCACCATCAAAGTGCAGTGTCTGTGACTGCAAATCAGACAAAAATAAAAAATACAGTACTTTCTGAGGCCTAGGACTAGCTCCTGATAGACATTAAAGCATCTGTGGAAACAGGCCTGTCCTCCAGGCCTTTTAGACGGGCACCAAGTTGCCACTGGTTACACATAAGTGCGTTTTGCATCACTATACAGGTATACAATATTCCCATCAGAGGGTATAGGAAATTTAATTAAATGCTTCAGTTTTACAAAAATTGCTAAAAAATTTTTTTGCACTTCAATATTTAATTTTTACATGTGCCACTTTTAACAACATCAATTACAAACTACTTTCTGACTGCGTTACTCGACCTTAAGGAAGAACTTGGTTTGGGGATTGCATCCCTCTCCGAAAGTGTGCATTTCGCCCAGAAATGCAGCAGCAGTACAAGCGCTACACGTATTAGCTCCCCACTTAGTAGCCATCGAAATTTACAAGAACCATCCGGGCAGCCAGAAGCCTCAAACCCATGGGCCTCAGCCCCCAACCAAAAGAGATTTTGGTTTTGGTCCTACAACTGGCATCGGTATTATCTCGAGGTCAGGGTTAGAGCAAAGTGCTGGGAAGGCTGCTGCTCTGCCAGCGCAGGCAGGTCGTCTTTGAATGTTTATACAAGTGGCTAGACTGGCTGAACCTCTTGCCACACTTGAGGCAAGCGTAGGGCTTTTCACCTGTGTGAACACGGATGTGCTTCTTGCAATCTGTCAAGGTCAGGAAAGTCTTGCAGCAGATTTTGCAGGCATACTTGCGAGCTCCCTCCACAACCAAGACGTTGTGCTCTGACAAGGCCTTCTTGCACTTGGACAGGACATCAGCAGATGCCCTGGTCAACTGTGGAGGGCCAGGCTGGGAAGGATGGCCATTTTCAAATGAGGACGTGGCCCCGTTCATCATTAGCTGGGAACTGGCTGAGTTTTCTGGGATCTGTGAGCTCCTGACAGAAGTTACAATGGGCATTTTGGGAGCTATGCGGCGGTAGTATGGAAAGTTACTGGCCTTTCCTCTTGAGGAGCCCATCATCACCCTGGAGAAGGAGGAGTGGAGGCCCAAACCAGACCTGGAAAAATCCATGCCAAACTGTTCTCCTTGATAGCCTGACTGCACACAGGGCAGGCCCATGGCCTCCGGCATAGGCCTAACAAAGTGGGAGTCTGCAGGCTCACTGAATGGGTTCTCCACGTGAGACCCAGGGGCTGAGGAGGACCCGCCCGCAGGCCCAGCCTCTGGACTCAACAAATAAGGGCCCTCACACTCCAGCCTGCAGTCACTAGTGGTGTTTGGGATATTATCGTCATTGTTCTGATTTGCACTAAAGTTACTTCCTCTGCTCTTATTAAGAAAATTTGAAATGCTAAAAGTAGACTTATGATCTAAGTTATTTGTGACTTCCAAAATATGGATGTCACCTACCCTGTCAGTGCTAGACTGGGGATCTGAGAAACTCCGATCGCTGCTTTCAGGGCTGAGGTCGATCTTCTCGGCACTGACCACCACTCCTTCCACCTCCACAGACTCGCTGCCTTCTGCTTGGGAGGTCACATCGCTCACTTCGTCCTGAGGCTCAGGGGAGCTCAGGGGCTCAGATTTAACTACCACTCTCATGTGCTCCTTCTCACCAAGGCCAACCTCAGCATTTTCACACTGAAAACCACTTTTTTCGGCTGCAGCTTCCGGCTCAAAACTAGTCTCCACCTGAGTTGCGCGTGAGGCCATGGACAACTGGGCCATGTTGCCGGCACTGGTGTCCGACTGACTGGGCACCTGGGCATCTTCTTGCACACCGAAAGACTGGTCAAACATGATGGCACTGTCTTCCTGGTTGTCCGTCATCCCATCGGCCTTAGGGTTATCCACAATTTTCAGAGAATCTGGTGAAAAGAACTCCTCTCGGGGATGCACACCTGAAGGCCCGTTCTCTGGCGTAACGTTGGAAATGGCAGACTCATCCAGGGCGGGTCGAAGGCGCTGCCTGGCCCGTTCCTCTGCAGACTGCTTGCGCTTATGAAGGCGTCTCATGGGGAAGGGCGTCCGTGGGTCCAGGGTACTACGCATGGAGGAGCTCATGGGGGCCGGCTGCTCCTCGCCGCTCTGATTGGAATTGAGAGCTGAGCTCACGATGCTTAGTCCCAGCTGCTGCAGCATGAAGAAGCGCTGCATGCGGGCGCTCTGCTCCTGAACACGCTCACTGGGGGGAGACATGGGCAGTGTTCTTGTCGTTAAGTAATGTTTACATGCCTTAACCACCGAGTTCAAATGCAGGTGAGAGGCTGCCAATAAGACATCCATAACATTGCTCTCCCCCAGCATGAGGGTGGATGTATACATCATGTCAATCAGTGCGGCAAAGGCCTCCGCCGTCACCACCTCGCTGTCCAGCTGGAT